CCTTAGTCTTAAACCGTCATCCTTCAGTTTGCAAAGGTAGTTTCCTGTTGTCAGACATAGGCAGCACTTCTCCTGGTTTCCAAGCCAGATCTTTACATACTTGGAGGCCGATGTCTACAATCGCGACGTAGAGTTGAAAGTCCTGTGTCTCGGCTTAATGCGATGTGGAGATGCATGGCGATGGATTCGACCTCCAGTCAAGGGTGGGGGGGGGGGGGGGGATACTGAGGATGCTTGTCCTCGCGTATATGTGCGTAGCGCCGCAGAAACCATCCGTAGGGGCTAGGTTTCCTTTGTTTCCTTGAGGTCTTACTCGCTCTCCCGTTCTCATTCCAACCCGGGTGGTTCGACCAACGACGATGCAGCAATTGGGCTGGTTAGAGCTGGGGGTGTTCTGGCAGCGGTACCACGTACTGGTCACATCCACCCTCCATAACACAACGCCATCCGCATATGCCATCCACCATGCGCACCCACGCCCGCGCCGAAAATGACGATGGCACGGATGGGTTCTTGTGCGTGTTGTGCGTGCTTCCCTTGGGGACAAGGGGAAGGGGCGCCACTTCGTGATCCTGGCGGCCTGCACAATATCGTATTCCCGTGTCTCTGTCCGAGGTCGGTCCCGCTCAAACGGGGGCCGGTGCACAGATGGAGACGGGGAGTAATGGATGACTGAATTGTATGCCAGCTCGGCATGCCGAGGCACGCTTGCTCGGCCATGCCCGGTTCTGACCTGAGTCTTCTCACCTCAGACCAGCCGGCCTGAATCTATTTTTCGATACCAAGGACGGTGGTCATCTACCATGCTTGGCTTGGCTTGGCCTTGGCTGTCATGATTGATACAATCCACGGCGTGACAATTCACTGCCAACAGGGCTTCCTCCCCCACCTATTCATTCGATGGCAATGACAGACAGCCCAGAGCTTATGCGGAGGTAGCGGACCATGGTTGATTGATTGACATTGGCCCCTGGGCCATAGCCATGCCTGTGACTACGGTCCTCCAGTAATTGCGGCTGCAACTGCCCCATGAGAAGGATCGTCGAAGGTCTAAAGTGTCGCAGCCGCAGCTGACGAGAAGTGGATGGCATTCCGCGACCCAGGCGGGATCTGGGCACCACGATAGACCATGAATGATTGAGCATGTTACTAGAGCGGTAAGCATGCACAAATCCTGCCCATGGCCACGGCCAAAGAGATGAATAGCGACGAAGAGGCCATT